CCATCGACCACATGCACAGGCTTCCACTACGCTTCATCGAACCGGGTCCTGTAGGCCAACACCGCTGCTTCCTTGTCTGGCCTTTGTGCAACGCTACACAGAGGTGGTCGACGAGGACGCGGCATGTTCGCAGCCGCAGCCTGCTGGTAGATCTGGGAAGCCTGGCCAGCTCCAGGCAGGATTTGAGGAGCCTCTGGACGTAGTCTGAGTAAGAAAGATTGATAGCCAAGCTTCTGCCAATGTCTGAATAAAAGTCGGTATTTACCGTACGACGGAGTCTCCATGATAAGGCTGAGGACCCATGTGCCTTTCCGTGACTTGGGAAACTTCAGAAAACTCCGCTTTTTTTCGTCCTTCGTTGTGGCCTGCGCACGGTTGCTGTTCTCATTGTAGTGAAGCACCGCGGCGGCAGTCCTGCAAAGGCCACATATAAGGGGAGGAAATACTGTAAACATGCCCTAAGCATATTTCATATTAGAACTTTCCGGAAATTTTCATATTGCATAACCAATGCTAGGAACTGTATCTACACTAGCAGTCAACCTGTTGTATGCTAGCTGACCATCCTCGGGAGCATGGCCCTGCATCGCTTCGCACACTAGCAACCCATCCTGTTCTCATCGAATGACTCACTGTTATTGCGACCAAAGCTAAGCCGACAGTCCTCATTTACTGTAAACAAGTTATTTTTCGGGGGCTCAATATTTCGCGATTTAGGTCGAAGCTCAAATTTTGCAATAATTCGCAGGTTCTAATTTTCCCCACACGCTCGGATCTCAATGTGAAGTATTATGTGTTAACATTCTACCAAAATTGTTTGCGAGATGTTATTTCGCAAACTGTAGGCGATTCGTAAAAATTAGATCTTCGCGAAAATTAAGTCGTTTACAGTACATCGAGCGTTGCAATTTGCCACCATTGTGCGGACACAAGTATGTATGAAAAATGTTGACTTCCCTTCGACTTACAGTAACAATGAAAAGCTTGTTAAAAACACGAGGGAGATAAATATTGCACAAATTGACGTAGGGCCTCACTCCTGAAGACAACATGTGCACTCGCTCATCTGCTAGAGTACATCAGCGCATCCGCAGAATTTTCTGCGTGAGTGGTGCACAGTAGAAATTTCTGAAAAGGCTCAAGAACAAACATAAATATCACACACATACCACTAGCACGTATCAGGATGCCTGCTTACCGTGCCACCAGGCCCTCAAAGCTGAAGTGACTGGATTTTGGAGTAAACCGATGAAGCATGCTGGGAAATGACTCTAGACGGTATGTCTGGCCGTCTCCAGACACCCTTGAAATGTCTTTTAGAAGTTGCTTGGACACGACAATCTTTTCGAGAGCAACGTATGGCTCGGTCCCTGCGATAAGAGAATAAGATAAAGTACCAAATTAACCCTTGTAAGTGCTGGGTTTAGTCGATAGTTGCTGAGCAAGTAACCAGAGCGCAGCCGAGTATACTCCAGGTGGTAGTTGAAAGGTTAAACAGCAAAGCCAGTGTCCCTTGCAGCATTTCGTGTTGCCTGTCCACAAAACACTTTTTTGTGTTGTATATGTGATGCAACTGCCATTTTATTTTTTGCCATTTTTGCAGAAGCTAGATCTCTGCTCAGTAATTCTACATAAATAATTTTCATATAATCTTCAATTTTCTTTTTTATGCGCCTTTTGCATGTTACAAGTCAGTGTTCACTTCCTCATTATGTGTCTTTTCACGACCTCAAAAGTGAAGAGTGTTTTAATTAAAATATAAGGCTAAAAACAAACGGTTTAGGCCTCTTCATGTAAGTGAAATATCCGCTCAGTAATATGAGCTGGATACGAGATGGAGTCCTGCCAGTGGCAGGTCTAGAGGGGGGGTCGGGATGTCATGACCCCCTTCTAGACCGGTATATCAGCCGTCTAAACCAACATTTCCACTGCCGGTTTCTACACACCAGTAGAAATGTCCACGTACAGTCTTGACCCATGCGTTCAAGACGCTGTTCTTCGTCTTGCCTGCAGTTGCCATCTTGCTCCCAATGCCTAGAAATTAGAATGCCTCCATGCATTACTAGCTCAGCACCAGTCTAGTTTGGAGAATAATAAGTTTTGATATTAGATGCACTAAATATATGAAGCTATAGTAGAATTGCATCTAGATAGTGGTGCAGGATAGACAACATCGTCAGCTTTAGTATACCATAAGATGATGTTTGAATAATGCCACGTGTATCTTGACAACAAAGTATATTGCACTATAGTTTGTTGAGCCAGCGATCGTTGACTCAATCGCGATCGAGCGGTGTTACACGGCAGTGCATCTACCATAAGCCGCTAACGATCACTGAATTAAACTGAGCTGGCCTGCCTCAGTTAACTGATGGGGGTCCACCTTAACAGAGCTAAAGATGGCGGCATTCACCGCATCACCATTGATGGCCAGTGCTAGTAAAGCACTTACTATTGCAGAAGCTTGGGGGCGGTAGCTAAAGTTATCATAGCAGCAAATATTATCAGAAGAGGTATGATACGAAGCCAGAGCTACCACTAAAAGTATTGCGAAACGTCGCGGAAGTGCGGCCATTGTGATGTCGGTGGCAATAAAACTTTCGTTGTCACTCCTGCTTTGAATTAGTGTGAAATGTTCCGATTTTCGTGTTTTTTTGTGTTTCCAAAATAAACTAAAATCTATTACTGTTAACTACTTATTTTTCGCGGACTTAATATTTCGCGATCTAAGTCAAAGCTGAAGTTTTGGAATAATTTGTGGGTTTTAATTTTCGCGACGCAGTGGGATCTCAATATAGATTTCTATGTGTTTACATTTCACCGGAATTGTTTGTGGGACCTATTTTTCGCGAACTGTGGGCGATTCGCGAAATTTAAGTTGTTTACAGTATATGTCAAGTTGAACTTTATTTGTGTTTTATTAAACGTGTTAAACGCAATTATCCTCAAACTTTTTTTTTCTATCATGTGGGTCACGTGACGTGCACCCCAACTGCGGTCGTTAGGCCTATGTACTGTGTAGCACCGGGCAACTTAGTTGATCTCAGCGACAGTTGGGAGATGTCAATGATCCTTGACTCAATGATTGTAAAACGGCCCATGTACAAGGGTATTAGAGCTATCAATACTATTACCTTTTGCGAAATGCCATGCGTCGAACCGGTGCTTGGTGTTGAGGTACCTGTCTCTCATCAGGGCATTCACCCCAGAGCGCCGGTCGGTCACAAGAACATACACCGACTGCCCCGTGCTCAGGAGGAAGGCCATGGCATAGGCGTAGACAACGGGGGGGGGGGGGGGGGGGAGGGGGGGGGCATCGGGGCTCATGCTTCCCCTGGTGAGATACAAGGAAGGGGGAGGACAGAGCCCCCCCCCCCCCCCCCCGCGGGCCATGATCCTTACCAAAATGTTGTTTACGTACCATGCAACGAGCTTCTAGTAGTGGAATGTAAACAAAATAACGCACACAGCGACGGACACCAAGTGATATACATACGCTCTTAAATGTACCCCCTAAAATAAACTACTGACAATTTCCGGTGTAAATAAAAATTGCGTGGAAAAGCCCCCCCCCCCCCTCCCCCTTCTCCCCCTGGAGAACTTGCAGCCTGCCCCCCCCCCCCCCCCCCCCCCCCCCGGGCAAATGAAAAGTCTACGCCGCTGGTCCAGGGAACGTTTCAGGCCCTCCGTCTCCATGTGGTTGCTCGAATTGTCTCCTGACGACTAGGGTAGAAAAGGTGCCGTGAAATCCATACCTAATATATGTTATGCATTGAGATCATCTTATATTTGGCCACTTCTTACCTGAAGAACCTCGTAGTCCATGATCTTCTTGATGCGGGTGTCAAGCAGCGTGTACAGAGTAGCCAGGCGAGTCAGCACGCCCATTGCCTGCAAGGTGGAGCTTCCCTTTCGTGACTGTCAGGAGGGACTTCTGTTCAGCTTCACAGGCCTTTGAAACCGGAAAACGCAGTGTGAGGCTCAATCAATGAACATGTTTAGTAAACTGACAATCTTGTAGCCAGTTCTGCTCACCTTTGTAGCAGCAGGAAAGACCAAACAGCTCTGCACCCGGAAGAGCTGCGTCTTCTTCAAGGCTTGCATGCCTATAGATCCAAGGAGGCAAAGAACGCGCGTAGGGCTGGCTCCAGAGAAGGTGATGGCAGCAGGCAGCAGGATGTTAAGGAGTGCCTTGGTGTTGATTCGGGGCTGATTCTCCCAGAGAGTATTGTGTCCTCGTGCACGCGTGATGACGGCGTGCACAAGGGTCCATTGATGTGTCAGCTTCGTCCGTGTTGGAGCCAGGCAATTGACTCAAACAGAAAACAGCAGCAGCAGCTGTGATGCAGTTACCAGGTACTTTATTTCCTTTATCGGGTCCACTGCTGCTGAGGACGTTTTGCAAACCTTTTCACTGTAAAAAAAAATAATAAAAAGAAATTATAGTCTTGAAATTTCAAAAGCAGTTCTTTTTCAACACTTTCAATTTTGTTTTTATTCTGCTATTATCTCTTGCAGTTCTTTGCACCAAACCGGGATATCTACCAAACTCCTCCTGTCGTATTCATTGACTTTGCCAGGTTCTCCCAGACTATTTCGATTAAATTCCCTGGCCGTTACTGCAACCTGGTCCAATAACCAAGTGTGCTCGTCATGCTTTTTATAAGATGTAGTTATAGAGACTCCCACACTGCACCATAAACCGTATGTATGATAACATATACCCATGTAACCACCCAAATAAAGTTTTATTTAGGGACTGGTAGTATATCTAAATTAATTAATTAATTAATTCAGGTAATGGCTTGCATTATCTAATGATGTTTCAAGGAACATTATTGGGTGCAGCCATGCCATTATGTGACTGTCAAGCTTCGTTGTGTACTGCTGTGCCAATTTCATTTGTCATTTTTCCTGATTATAGCCAACCTTTTGACTGTTTTCTTCATAATTCTTTGACTTTTCCAGGTAAAGAAAAGTCCCAGATAATTACAGGTTTCCTAAATTGGTAGACCCAGCTTAATCCTACTCATAAAATTAAGTTCTGGTTTCTTAAGAGTTATTGTGGACACATACTCGACATCTGTTCCACCGTCCGAGTCCACAGAGTCCTTGGAGCAGATGCTGGTGTCTGAAGAGTCCGGTTCATCATCGAAGTTGAAAGAGTTGTCTGGCCTATAGCACTCGTCCAACAGATTTGGCTCAGGACACATATCCTCGTCAAAGTCCATGAAGTCCGTGTTACTGGTCTCCGAAGGCGCTGCCTCGGGTTCCGAGGGTTCAGGAGCGGCATCCCGCTCTAACGACAAAGAGCTTGGTGTTTTGTCCTCCGTAGGCATGGAACACCACTGCGCAACCATTGTTCAACCTCTGCCGAGTTCTCTTCAGCTTGTTCCGGACTTCCCGGAACACCTGACTCGCTTCCCAAAGGGCTTTGGACAACCACGCCTGGAAAGAATCGAATACCAGGGCAAACATTATGGTGTCAAAAGAAAATCGAACCAAAAACTGGATCAAAATAATTATTTTTGACCGAACCAGAACTCGACCAGATGTGCATGGCGATTCCCGGTTCATTGAAAAACTGTTAGACACACACAGTAAGAGTGTGCATGACATGACTTATGACGCAGTGCAGTTTGCAATTCATGAGAAAAAATATATATCCGTCACTCTAACTCTTCCCAGTTTATTTTGACGCAATAAAACATTAGATCCCCACCTTTCTGCCATGCTACTGCAAGTAGCCCAGGCTCAACAAAAGATGAGGGGAATGCATGAATGGCCACAGTCAAAGGTAGTGTTATGAACTGGTTGGAACCACTTCATGCTTGGTAGTGGCAGTAACCAAACTACTATTTAGCATGCATGCCGGAACCAAGACCGAACCAGAAGAAAACACAAAGACGACGGTACAACACCATGGTTATGATATAACGGTAGTTCTGTGTTTTCAGATAAAGTCAATAAAGTCCTAAAACCATTTGCCCGCAATTTATCCGAAAAGAGTTTGAAGGTCACATCGATCGGGGAAAAGATAAAGCACACAATAAAGGTCAGGTTGGATCAGTGCGAACGGTCATCGGTTCTCAAAAAGACGGTGTGTGTCAGTGTTTTTTTGCAGAGAACGAGGCAATGTATTTCTATTTCGCGGCAGAAATAAAGCTATACGTCTAACGCTGCTAGCAGTTGTTCAAGTCTCAAGTTCAGACCGTGGTCACCATTCCTGGCTTTTGCAGAAAAAAAAAGTGGCATGTTTTTTTTTTTTTTTTTTTTTTGTATAACAGTGGACCGCATAGTTCCATCAGTGGGTACGGGTAAAATTACTTGAACGGGGGTGCTTGAAGCTGAGGTTTCTATACTACTACATTGTTCAACCTGGGCTTTCACGGCACATTTCTGTGGCATCAGCAACAGCGAGACGACTTTTACTTTTATGCGTATACAAAAATCTGCACTTGTATTTATTACAGCAAGCTTGTAGTAAATACGAGCATACCTGCTTGTCTTGAAATGTAGAGATGAGCTCATTGTAAATATTTTACAATATAAAAATTTGTTTTGATAAAAGAATAAAAATCCAGAACTAACCTTCCGAATTTGACGAAAAATAAACTCGGGGAACACGAATAATGCATCTATACTATGTACACTATTATAACTCTAGTCAAATCTGCATTACATAGATGGCACTATATTCTTAAGCCACCACAATTACTCACCCAAAAATATTGGCAGTGCCGGATTTTCAGTCGAGGTCTGACAAAGCTTCTCGAAGGCTTGCACAGCTTTGTCCGCGTACAGTGTCGGTGTACCTGGCACACCAAACGCATTACATTTAAGATATAGACTCAAATAACAATGCACAAAGAGTGAGAGAGTGAGAAAGAGGCTGATAAAGGTATTCCGTCATTACACGATAAGGTGAACCAAGTCACTGCATACCTCTTGTTACCACCCACATACAGATGTGGCAGATGGGTGGCTCCAAGTGCGGTCCAGAATGGCCATCAATTCCAGTAGTTGCTGACACGGTGTCGCATGAAGCGGCGGTGCTGCGGTTGCACCCTGGCCCACGAGTGGAAGCCTGGTCCCCGCTCTGTAAAAGCGGTGCGATAGTTACTACAACTGGCATACACGGCCACTGGTCGAGCAACACCTCCTTTGTTTTCCTTCAATACTTTGACTGACTGACTGACTGATGCAACCGGCAGATTACGCCGCACGCCTGGGTGAAAATTGGGGGGCCACATCAATCGGACATCTTATACACCAACTCATGTTTACAAACAAACCGGAGCGCCTCTAGCGAACGCCACCAGCGCCGTGCATGCGCGATGGAGTGTGGGCAAGAAGCTCGCCGTCACCCATAAACACACCATTGAAATGCGCTGTTGTTGGCGTCGGTGTGAGTTTCCCTGCCTTTGTTCGCGTTCGAATTGTTGATCCTATGTCTTCCTGGCAATGTCCGATTACTTGAGCGGCCTCAGCAAAATTACCGAGGCTCGTTACACCGCAAAAGTTCGCGTGGTGGTCCGCACAACTTGTTAGTTCTCTGGCATTTATGTTGGAACAAAACAAATAAAGCTGATGACCGCAAGTAATTGTGAATTCAACCCAAAGTGCTTGCCGCTCAAGCAATCGTGGTCCGACTGTTGTTTAGTAAGGCACGTTGTTGGGCTAGTTGGTTCATCTTAGTAAAACATAAAATAGCGCAACAGAAACAAGGACAAGAAGTAAACAGGACAGGCGCCGACTGTTGTATTCTCACTTCCTCTTTCATTGCCACATCTTTGCCACATCTATAATTCTCAGCCACTAGATGCCACTTCGTCTTTCTCTCCTTCTCGAGCTGGGTCCTTGCGCCCTGAATAAACATCATTGGCCTAATGATGGCTGTTTAGTCACGACGTCCGTGCCGTTGTCTCTCGCTGGGACACGACATTCGTTTGGCGACGAGGATGCTTGACGGTTCCTGCTAGCCACCAAGTTCGTCGCGGGACTGCGCGTCTTCGCCTACCTTGGTCCGCCGATCTGCGATCCTGCCTCAGCTCAATTCTAGACCCAGCGCAGTTAGGCCATACCACAGCGTTCGGATATAGGCCTCGCTCCCATAACGTTGACGCAGCCTCCTGCTAGATCGGACCAGGACGTCAGATTGCCGCAAGCTGATCCGCTCTCACCCGAAGATGGCTTTTTCAAACATCGCGCCACCAAAACCAATTCTGGATGCTCCTGGACGACCTCCGGTACCTTGGGACGAATGGTACAAGCGGTTCCAGCGCTACATGGATGCAGCTGGTGCTGTCGAGTTTTCTGCCGTTCGCCGTCAATCCATCCTCATCCACAACTTGGGTGATGAAGGTCAACGTGTCTATGATGCCGTCATAGTGAGTCGTCTTCCACCACCCGCTACCCCTACGCTTCCGCCAGCCACGGGGCCAGCTGTAAACACGGCTGGAGAAGCTACGAAGTCAAGTCAGTCTGTCCATGTGGAAACTCCCTCTCATGACTGCTACGTAAAAACGGTCGCAGCCTTAGCCAACCATTTCTCTGGAAACACGAGCGCCATTGTAGAGTGATATCGGTTTCGCCGCCACCATCAACAAGCCAACGAGTCGCTCGCAGAGTACATCGCGGCTTTACGTCAATTGGCGATCAGATGCGATTTTGGAACCCGCGTTGACGAAGACCTTCGTGAGCAGCTCATAGCGGGAATATCCTCGGCTTCTCTTCGCGAACGACTGCTCTACGACAAAGCCTTAACGTTCGAGCGCGCCGTCGACGTCGCTCTTCACCTAGAGAAGGCCGCACAAGAAGCAAGTGCGATGCGATCACAGCCATATGCCGACGAACCTTTAATAGCATGCGAGGTCAATGCAGAACGTCGTAGACCCTCCCATCGACAGCAGCGAAGTAACAAAGGATGTTCTTCCTCGCGCCAGGTGTCATGGCCTCCGCCTACGTCGGAACGACTGACTACCTGCCATGCACCACAACACGACCAGCCTCTGTCTCGTCGAGCCTCAAATCGGAGTCTCTCCGGGACGGCTACTCATGACCAATCAGTGTCAGTACCACGTAATAACCGGGAGTCGGTCCAGTGCAAGAGGCTCACATCCGGGCCTTGGGCACCTAGATCGCACCAGGAGACCTTGCCATAATGCCGAAACTGTGGTTTGCACAAATGTCTAACCGCCGCGGCCTGCCCAGTGAAAAATGCCACGTGCTATGGGTGCGGTAAGCGCGGACATTACGTGCGAGTCTGCAGGAGCTCCAACCGTCGACAGAACTCCGTTCATATCCAAGAGATATTTTCCGACGACGACGAAGACGATTATGGAATTCTGATGGACGTTACTCCTGGTAGTCGTCGATCGGCCATTTACATACACGTCATCGTCTTCCATCATGCTGTCAACTTTCTCGTGGATACCGGATCGTCCGTTTCCATCGTTTCGGATGCGGTTTCCAAGAGCCTCAAAGAGAAAAGGACCATCGAGCTTTTCTCACCACACACGGATCTCCTGAACTATTCACACGAGAAAATAACAGTCCTGGGGGCATTTTACGCAGATGTCTCCTACCAGAAAAAGACGGCGTTTATATTATTTTATGTCACAAACAATGGAACGCCTCTCTTGGGTCTTGATGCTATACAAGCCCTAGATCTTCGCATCCTAGGGACAGCGTTGCGCTGTCTTCACACTCAGGTCAAAGGCCTAGATTCCTCATCGGGGCAAGATTTATTGACCAACGAAGTGCCAGATGGTTCCGGGGTAGCACACAGCCCTCCAGAAAAAGTCCAGCAACGCCCGCCGTCGTGAGAGGATCGTCTACGTGCTGCTGTAAGGGAATCAAGTTCCGCATCACGGCTCTCTCCGAAGAGTGGTCCTCCTCATATCGGAGATCGACAAGTTGCTGCTGGAGCAGCGACACCTGAAACATCTACAGTGGGACGGCTTCCAAAATCACTGAGCGCTGACTACAAGCATCTTTTTGTTTCCGAGCTTGGTCACGCCAAAGGCTATGTACACAAGGTAAAAGTCCATCTCTCTGTTACACCAGTACAATGCAAATTGCGATGTCTTCCGTTTACGGTTCGCAAGCAAGTTTCAGACGAGCTTAAGCGCCTTGAAGCCAGGGACCTGATTGAACGTATTGACGCGTCTGAATGGGTGTCGCCAATCGTCGTAGTCCAGAAGAAGGATGGAAAAATTAGGATGTGTGTAGATCTCAGGGAGCCAAACAAGGCACTTGTTATTGACAGCTTTCCTCTACCACACACAGAGGAACTTCTTAATTCCCTGGTTAGTGCAATCCACTTTTCAAAACTCTATATGGCTTCTGCATACCATCAGGTAGAACTACACCCAGATAGCAGAGACCTGACAGCCTTTGTAACACATGAAAGCCTGTTCCGATTTAAGAGGGTATGTTTCGGCCTGGCCTCTGCTCCAGCGTCATTCCGACAAATGATGTCTAGAATTTTACATGGCTGTGAAGGAGTACTATTCTACATAGACGACATCATTGTCTTTGGCAGATCCAGCGAGGAGCATCTTGCTAACTCCCGAGCCGTTCTTCAGCGCATCTCCAGTGCAGGCCTACGCATGAATGACAAGTGCGTCTTTGACGTCAGAAAACTCTCTTTCTTGGGTCACCAACTTAGCAGCCAGGGAATCGCTCTTCTTAAACAAAAAGTGGACAACATTAACCAGACACCGGTGCCAACGGACATTAGCCAGCTCAGGTCATTCCTGAGACTGGTGGAATATTATTCAAGATTTATTCCCAGACTTGCGACCGAAGTGGAACCACTTCGCCGGCTCCTGAGCAAAGACGTTCCATTCATTTGGGACCCCGAGGCCAACGAAAGTTTTAAACGGTTGAAATTTCTCTTGTCGTCCAGTCAAGTACTTCGGATGCTCGACCCCGCCCTGCCGATAATCGACGCAACAGAGGCGTCCGCATATGGGCTTGGGGCTGTCCTCCAGCAACGAGCGGGGAAACAAGTCCATACTGTTGCTTTTGCCTCTCGTACGTTCACTCCAGCAGAACCAAAGTAATCTGTTGGGGAAAAAGAAGCCCTGGCATGTCTCTAGGCACGTGAGCGATGGCATAACTACCTATAGGGTCGCCACTTTACATTACGTACCGACTATCAGGCACTGATTGTCCTTCAGTCAACAGTTACAATTGAAAACGAGCGTGTTGGTTAATAGATACAAAACTTGAAAGTATAAAACAGAGAGGACGAGGACGGGAACAGGACATCTTTCAGACCGAAGAAACGCAGTTGGGGTTTGGACGAAACATGGCTCGAAAAACGTTGTTAGTTACAATTGAAAACGAGCGTATTGGTTAATAGATACAAAACATGTCCTGTTCCCGTCCTCGTCCTCTCTGTTTTAAAAAATGTCCTGTTCCCGTCCTCGTCCTCTCTGTTTTATACTTTCAAGTTTTGTATCAGTCAACAGGATTGTCCTTCGTGAGTATTTCACACTTCGTGTGAAATACACACGAAGGCCATCCAGGAATCGTCAGGACCAAGAGCCGGCTCCGAGACCTCTAGTGGTGGCCTGCCATAAAACGTCAAACCGAAAGTGTGATCAGAAGCTGCCCGGTGTGCCTAGCGACAGACAAGCCTATCAAAGCTTCACCAGCACCCTTGCAGCGAGTTCCACTTCCGGAGCGGCCATGGGCCAAAGTCGCCATCGACATTGTCGGTCTATTTGAGCGAGCAGAGCCAGCATGCCGGTATGCCATCACTCTTGTTGATTATTTTTCAAAATGGCCAGAGGTTCAGTTTTGCCACGACGTGACAACCTCTCGAGTGATTACATTTCTGTCATCAGTCTTCGCTCGGGAAGGTTATCCAGGTTGTCTCTTGTCAGACAACGGGCCACAGTTCACGTCATTACAGTTTAACGACTTCCTAAAAAACTGAGGCATAAACCACGTGTACTCGTCTGTGAACTATGCGCAAGCCAATGGGCTCGTCGAAAGGTTCAATCGCGTACTGAAAAACTTCATTCAGCTCGCCGCCGCTGAGAAGCGTCGGTTACAAGAAGCAGTCACCGACTACCTAGGGGTGTATCGGTGTACCTCACATGCCACAACAGGCCTGTCGCCAGCGCTCCTCCTCCACGGAAGCAAACCGAAGACGCGTCTCCTAATCCTGGGTCTCACCTCGTGAATTTCTTCGCAACCCAGTGAAGGAGATGAAACGTCTACGAGAACGAGTATGTCATCGGCGACAGTCAAGCAAGAAATACACTGACCAGCGACGAGGAGCCAAACGACCGACATTTGTTGTTGGTCAATTCGTTCGCTACCGGCTTCCAAAGAAAACGCGCAACGATAAATCCAAGTTCAGCGAGCCGTTGAAAATATGGAACGAGTTGGACGTTGGACATTCCGCTTAGAGGACGGAAGAGCCTGGAACGCATCCAAGTTGACCACTGCCGTTCCACCCGAGAAGCAGTCGACGCCCTCAAACACGTTTCAGCATCGGCCACCAGGAATCCTGAGAGTTCAATGGGTTCCTGAATCGCCTACTGTCGCGGATGACAGTCAGGTTCCTGCCCAGTGTACGCCCTCAGGCGTTGTTGCACGGGATCCAGCGGTCCAGCCAAATGGTGATCAGGACACTGCCGGTCGAAGATCCACCGGTAACAGGACTGTGCAGGGGAACAATGGTGCAGCGGCTGCACCTAACACCGCCGCAACAGCGCCAGCAAACGAGACTGTTAGACGCTCTAGACGAGAGCGGCGGAAACCTGTGAGGTTCGGAGATGCTGTGCTGATTCCAATTGAGGTTATTGTACATTTATTCATACTTGTTTATCGTACTTTGTATATTGCATTGAGTCCTATGTAATTTGTGTTGCATTTGTTTTGTGTCTACTTCTTTCTTCTTTCCTCTTTCTCTTCTTTCCTTAACGGGGGGAGGGGGGGGGGGATGTTGTATTCTCACTTTCTCTTTCATTGCCACATCTTTGCCACATTTATAATTCTCGGCCACTAGATGCCACTTCGTCTTTCTCTCCTTCTCGAGCTGGGTCCTTGTGCCCTGAATGAACATCATTGGCCTGATGACGGTTGTTCAGTCACGACGTTCCTGCCGTTATCCCTCGCTGGGACACGACACCGACGGCGTCTGGTTTTCCCTTTTCACGGCACATATCCACGTTCTCGGACGAACCGAGCCCTTGAAAACCAACCTTCGAACCTTTCTCGGCTCTTTTGGTACGTGATCAGTCGCGGCGTTTTGACGACAAGGCAGTTTTTTGTCTGGTTCCTTTCAAAACAACGCAGGAATAGACGTTTCGCATGGAGTCTTCCGCCTACATCCCAGACCGGAAGTGCGCAAGACGCGCCATTACCGCACCGTGACGTAACAGAGTTGAGTTCGTGTACGTATAGGGTGGTTTCACGTGACATACCTTCTGCTCAAACCCGCGCTAGAATTCATAGTTGAGAGCCTTTGCCCTTTTTTTCCCTGCGGGCGAAGGCAATATGTTCCAGCTTGCTCAACTTCTTTTTGCGTTGTGATTGGCTGCGCCAGCCGAAGAAGTCGGCAACGCAAAAGAGCATCGGCTGGTACTCAATTTTCATACATATTGATATTTATTCGGAGCTTAGAGGATCTGTTACTCAAGGAATTGGCTCACTTGTGGTCAAAACGGCCCCAGTGGGTGCCGTGGGGCCACCTCGACGGACAGAAAAGCGTAGTGGACTAAGGTATGTGAGGCCTAAGAGCGTCTTCAGTGGTGCTTCTCGAGCTCTGCAGTCGTAAGAGATGCTCATTAGGTTTTGTGGCATTTACCAACACCGCGAAATTCGCTCATAAACAAGCGCCTCTACGTAACGAATAGGGCAAATGGTGGATACAGCCCCCCCCCCCCCCCCCCCCCCCGCACTCCAGAGTGTGATATTAGGAAGTGAAATTTTGTTTCTTGACACCCCCCTATATCAAGCAATGCGAGACGCTGTTGATGATTCATTTTTTGGTTTCGGGCCAAGGACCAGCACGTTCAGTATTAGTAAACATGTTTCGTTACTCATAACAATATTATCTCCAGGCTCATACACAAGATACGGCTAATTTGCACCAATGAAAACAAATATACGCACTTGGCTAAGGCATACGGCATTGTCTTGGTTCTGGCCAACAGGTTCTTCTCGAGCCACTGGTGCATCGGGCGACGATTCATACGTCGGTGCTTCTGAGGCGTCATCCCATGTATTGACCATTGGCAAACCATTGTCCCTCGACACTGTGCTACTGCTACAGTGGTCACCGCCCTGTGAAACCAATCAGTCAATATTTATCATCTTTGATTTGTTCATAACACACCCTATAGCCTAACTTCAGTCTAAGGGCCACGCGAAAGTGATAAAATATTGAATAAATTAACTTTTTTGTAGAAACGGGTTCTAGCATCCCCGCGTGGAGCCCCTAGTCCGGGGCCTCAAAAATGGTGGTCACCGATCTGGCACGGTTCACCTGCCATTGCTGGCCGGTGGCCGCGTCATCGGTCAGCCGCTCCTCCCAGAAGGTGGGGGAGGGGTTGGGAAGAGGCGAGACAGAGGACAATGCCAGACCATGCGGAGAATGCTGGGAAAAGAGTTGACGTCATAGAACGCACTCTCTGCTAGTAAGAGAAGGGTGAGGAGGAGGATAATGTTGTTGAACAAGGTGTAACTCTGCTTGTTGAGTTGTGCAAGGGGTAGGGGCTGGTCGGATGGTGGCAGTCTACCCCAGACTTCCGGTGTGAGAGTTCTTGGGCGAGCACACAAACGCACTCATTACCAGGGATGGCTGCGTGCCCAGGGACCAAGCCCAGGCACCCAGACTAGCCGGAAAGTGTGGGTGGTGTAGGATAGGAAGGAGTCAAGTAGGGACGCAGTGGAGAGATGCAGGGTGTTGAAAGGAAGTGCCGACAGGCCGTCTGGGAGTCAGTCAGAATGTTAGTGCGGTGGAAGAGGAGAGACTGGGTGGAAAAAATTGCCCTGGCGACCGCACGCTGCTAAACTAACGATGTGCAACATGTGTCAACATAAATACTAATTGGATGTATGTATTAGAAGTGGGATGTTTTGGTCGCCAAACAAACGAAATGTTTTCTAGTCTACACTCTAAAAAAAAGCCTGTGCGCCTGCTTTCCCGCAAAACACTCAAAAAGCCAATGAGCACAACTTGCGGAGGCAGCTCAGCGAATGACAATTCCGAAACATATGTTTAGACCAAAAAACGCAGTCTGAGTTGTGACATTAAGCAATGCAAGCGTGACATTTTGCATTGCTTAATGTCACAACTCAGGCTGTATTTCTTGGTCTAACCATATGTTCGGCATTGTCATTCGCTGAGCTACCTCCGTAAGTTGTGCTGATTGGCTCTCCGAAGGTCGTGCGTGAAAGTTGATGCACAAACTTTTTTTAGAGTGCATCTTGCAATAATGAAGAATATATTATTCAGATCACTGGTTTTGAAAAAAAAAAACAAAAAAAAACGTATTTCCTTTTAAATGTACTGTTTTCTGGTAACAGCATAGAGTATTGAAATATAATAAGATTACAGTGCATAACGGTGGTCTTCAGAGTTATGATTCCCCATGTCGGGTTCGGTCCAGTCCTGGGTAAAATTCCTAAAGCAGCGTTTGCAAGAGCACGCCAGCTCGCGGGCGGACACGCGCACTCACTTCTACTGATATATAGCTCAAAACTTTTGTATGCGTTCACGTGCGACGTGCACGTGAATGTCGCTTCAACAGGCTTGCAATCGCACATGCTCGCCAGCACGAACAGGGACAAAGCAGCGGCCAGCGCGACGTGAGCGAGGAATATACGTACCCCGGTCCGGCGAGGGTTCACGCATGATCCGTCTGCTCTTTGGGGAGGCGAAGATCGAGGAACGAGGTAAGGCGAAACGGCGTCTGGCGTCAGTCCGTCGGCTGTTTCGGAAGGCGAGGATCCAGGATCAAGGATCGACGGCACGGCGTCTGGCTTCAAACGCGCGTACTTGCTTGAAAAACCAGCGTCGCATAACAAGCGCAGATCCCGCTGGTAGCATTCTCGCAAGAAGTGGTCAGAACAGATGATTGTCCTGCTATTCGGCGACCACGGCTTCCCGGAGTTCCAACGGCACACGATGTCTGTCCAGACATTGAGACGCGCAATGTCGCAAGGGAACTTGTGAAAAACAACTCCCGAGCTGGTCACCTGGTAGTTCAAGCAGGCAGCAACACAACATCATGAGCCTATAGCCCTTTCGCAAGGCATCGCAGCTAGGCTTCAGGCATGCTGCCCGAATCGTAAGAAAACCACAAAACGCCGTCCTCCTGCTGCAACAGAGGCGAAACGAGATAGTGCTCAACTTGGCACATGCGTGTTACGGTGATCATATGGACAGAGCCTAGACCCAACACCGGGAGGAACTACTTCCACTTACGAAGTCATCGTTCAATTTCGCCCGGAGAAGTAAAAAGAGCCAAAACATAGAAATGACGTAGTCGTACCTCTGACGTAGTGGCTAACTGTTGGCTGCGCCAACTCCGTGGTATTGACAGCGCGGTTGATTGCTCTTCACGTCCCGCGCTAGAGTTAGCAGATTTCTGCGACTTGGCTAACTTGAAAGTTTGCTGGCCAGTTTAATAAATATGTAGACGGAATTACATCGCGATATTTGGCATGCGGTCTTCATAGATGATGCTGTAGAGGGCTGCATAGTTTTCTCAATATAAAGAATTAAGCGGAGTTGCCCTTTAAAAGGAATCTGTCAGTGAGCAATAGCAAAACCTTAAATCAGCAGGATTATGAAAAAGGCGCGTCTGAGGTAACCCGAAAAAAAAAAATCGCTTTCTTTAACAATGAGTAGGGGAGTTTTATTACAGTTTCGGCTATAAGACTTCCAGCTTGAAAAATAAAGCGACGTCCGTTATAAATCTCATTTGGTTTTGCGCCTCATATTAGATACTTTAAGCATTACACATAAATGCACCCGTCGTTGCGTACTGTTTCACACCCTTAGGCGCCAATCATTGATAAATATTGTTAGTTATATTCCTGCACATACTATTTTCTGTTGGAGGTTACGGAAGAAAGAGCAAGTTGCTTCAGCAGGACCCTCCGCTCTTTCCACTTTAGCAGAGCGACCGCTAGATTGGAGGTGAGTGGGCTCGATTCCTCTTTCGTCTACTCTCCAGTGTTCGCTCTACAAAAGTGAAAGAAGTGAAGGGCTTCGCGGGGAAGATATTGTCCTGCTGTTCTTAACCTCCATAATAGTTTAAATAAATCAGAGGTACTAAATGCCCGTAATTAATTTACGACTATCGGGAACATTAAAAAAATCGATGCTTTTGTATTTAATAACACAGCTGCTCAAACGCCGGTCATATTATTACCGAAAGCACGGTGGGGGGTGTGAAGGCACGCGACACACATGATCTAATAAGTGGCTTTGAGGGATTGTAGCGTCACTTAACAAGAGCCCCCCCCCCCCTCCCCCCGGCCCCTCCGCCCAAACGTTTATCCAGAACAAGGCGCCACAAAAGCAACTGAAGACTCTGCAAACCAAACCCGTGGTCCTTTCATACACTGACACTATATACAATGACACATCTTGCGATAGTCCGTATTGTTTAATATTGTATAGGTTAGCTTGCTTATCTTCCTTTCTGGATTCAGACTTCTGTGCTTTGTGGTTTCACCCATCTGGGAAAATAAAACAAGGAGGTGGGGGGAGGGGGGGGAGGGGGGGCGGAGGGAAACCTAAATGAGTGAATGGCCTTAATAAACAAAAAAAATGAGCCTTTGAAAAGCTTTCCACAACAATGGGATGTCACCGTGCAGAAACGCACGTTGCGCGTATATTCAGATGCGCACCTACAATATTTTATCCTCAGAATAGAGTACACTGCATTGCGTAAGCATTCGAAGCATTACAGTAGTAAATGAGAGCCAGCGTAAAGTAGAATGTACCGAATACGCAATACTTCAACGCTATTGCAGCTGTCCACTCCATATGGAAGCGACCTCCCTAATGCTGGATATTTTAAGAATTTAAAACTTAAACGCTAAAAAACACTGCATTTCGGTAGAAAAAAATATCTCTTGGCGATTTTTTCAAAAAAGTAGGGTAATTTTTGTTATGTGCCGAGAGAGTGAGGGAGAGGAGAAGAAAAAAGCACGCGGAAACGTCGGAAAGAGGAACTCTGATTTGAATGATTAGTGAGTTGACCTAAAGATAGCTGCCTCTTTCCCAACTGCACTTGTCGATTACGTTAAAACGCGCAACGCGGGGGTCCGGCGTTCGGCTCTTGCATTCGAGTGCGTTCGTTGAGTACAGTGGAGACAATGGCAGCTAGCTTTATGTCTACCCACTAATTATTCGAATCAGACCTCGGCGTTTTGACGTTCCCGTGTGCTCTCCTTTCCCTCACTTTCTCGTCTCATATGCTCGTTTTTTTCGGCAGGTGGCGGCGAGCGCGTCCGTAAGACGCGACCATGTAAAGCTGGCTGCGGCGTCTGCCAGACGCATGAAGGTAGGAATAAGAAAAGTTGACACACCGGCTCAAGCCAGCACACGAGAAAATCCCAAGTTAGGCCGAAAGTAGAGCTCGCGGTCGGTGGAAACACCCCAAGGGTGCAAAGTTCGTACAAAAGCGTCCAAGGGTGCCCAAGTCCGCCCAAGCGTCTTTTGGTTTTGGACACACTTCGGGGCGTGTCTCTCCGAACCCGAAGTCTCCCCCCGCTTCACCCCTGGTGGCGTCATGTCGCCTCCAGAAGCTTCCTACTTTCATGACATGATACGACCATGAGGACGCCGCTGTAGCGTTCGATCATGCACGAGCCGTGTTCGAATGTAAAGCGGAAGTATATCTGCTTCTTGCACAGGAGTTTAGATGATTGTCAGAGCGCTGAACTCTTATTGGCTGATTGACAAAAACACTAGCGGGTATACGCCAAGGCATCCAGCATTGAGGTCTACCTACTATCTTTTCAGTCAGGGCCAACCAGAGCTGGGTGTTTTTATGATGTCACCTCAACTCCTGTGGCATAAGCAGATGACTTGTTCGCGTATAGGCTTCTTGCACCTGATTTAATCTCTAAATAGCTTTGAAATAAAATAAAAAATAAAAAAAAATAACATTTTTGTTTGCCATCAGTGCCTTGGCGCCACGTTGGAGGAATTCGGTGTATTTTTGTGGCAACAGTAGTTCCGTAGAGCCCTGACGTTTGCTTGCTCGCGTTTGATGCTAAAACAAATTAATGGTGAGCAGCCGATGGAACACAGGTCAGAAGAAGCGTGACGTATTTAAAATCCACAGACGGCACTTGAACGCGTGTGGAGTGCCGTCGCTCGGCATTTGTACGCAAGAGCGCCGCCAGAAAAAAAAAATGCGTCGTCTGACAGTCCTTTCTGCTTACTGAAAACAATTACTACCGCCAACTATATGTGAAAAATATTAGTGAATATTGCGCAAAACTTGTGAGAAGGGTGACTTGTCCTCCAACTTTTTGAGTGTTTATACAGTTGAAGTCTGGAGCAGCCGCACAGTAATTTCGTCTGCTTTACTTGTCCTAGTCAATCTCAAAGAAGTTCCTCACGTGGCACGAAGTGCAGTCCAAATACCCTCATTTGGTACCAGACTAGCAAGGTAATCCGTCACAAGTAACTTATTACTTGCGATTCGTGACTTTTCAAGTAATTTTGCAAGTACCACGTTACTTTTTTGCGCAAGAAATCTTTAATCTAATTTTATTACAAAATTATTGTGGCAATTTTATAATTTTTGGTAAAACATTTACTAATCATTTGTAAACCGACTTTAACTCAGATACACTTCTTCATGTTCCTTACCATTTTTTCAGTATTGTACTTTACGGTATTATCAATTTAATTGATTTTCTAATCTACTTTAAATTCCTCTTCATGTAGTGAATTATTTGGATGCCCTAGAGATGATTAAGAAAAATATTGAGACGTTTACAGGTACCTGTAACGCGAAATTAGAGCACAGGTTTTGAGGTATATTTATTTTGGGATATACCGTGTTAAAAAACTTGAGGAAGAAATATCTATGTCAAGAAATAGGAACCTCGTACTGCTGCGTACATTATATGTCTATATAAATTAGTTATTCATTATAATGTTACTTATATAAGAAGGCGGAGGAGGGGAGAGAACGGAGGACCCTCCGCTACTCCTGCTTCCCTCCTTCTCCCTTGCTCCCCCTCCCCTCCTCCCCGTCCTCCATAGCCTCCACCTCTACCGCAGTTTCCCCGCTAAATTTATCTGGAAAATGTACGCCAAGTAAACTCAACACCAATTAAATGTACCCGTTAAATTTAGCGGGGAAAATGACATCACATGACTTCGTGTCAAGTCACCTACTAACAAATTCAGTTTCTTCGCTAGATTTAGCGGAAAAATTGATATCACGTGACCTCAAAACCAAATGAATTTGCCGCTAAATTAAGCGTGGATACTGAATTGGTGTTGAGGTCATCTGACGTCAGTTATACCACAAAATTTAGGGGGGAAACTGAATGTCCAGTGTTACACCGTGGGACGTACCTAGACATGAATTCAGATCCTTCGCTAAATTTAGTGGGGAAGTGAATTGGTGTATAGGTCTGCGGCATCCCATAATGGAACCCTTGCGGTTACACCGACGGCGACGGCGACGGCGATGGCGACACCGACGTCGCGAAACACGGGAACGAGTGACTAAGAGCTGCGCTCTAAACCTCAATTGAAATAAAAATGTCGCGTCATAAGCAAGAGTTTTGGTATGTAGTCGTGAGTGAAAATTGGTCGAGGGTAAGTGATTGTAAAAATTTATAGCTACGAATACATAAAAAGAAAATGAAAGCAGTTTAACACTCCCTGTAACGCCGAATAAGAGCGCAGCTCTTGAGGAGGAGGAGAGGGAGCTACGGAGAGGGGGCTATGCCCCTCCTCCTCTCCTGCTCGCCCCCTATTTAGGGAAAACTTTTCCGCTAATTCAGTGGGGAAGTTTTTCGGCTAGATTTAGCGGGGAAAATTTTTCACTAAATTTAGCGGGAAAAATGTTCCGCTAAATCTAGCAGGAAAACTTTCCGCTACATCTAGCGGGGGAAATTTTCCCGCTAAATTTAGCATGGAAAGCTTCCCCTAAATTTAGCGGGGAAAATTTTTCGCTAAATTTAGTTGAGAACGTTTTCCACTAAATTTAGGGGGGACATTTACCCATCATGCACCG